CTTACTCCTCCAAGTCCTGTGTGATGTGTCCTCTGCCCAGCAGGTTTCCAAGCCCCTCTGACCCSAGGGCTCCCAGCTCTGCTGCAGATTTCCGCCCGCCCTCTGCCCTCCTATGGGGGTGCACAGATCAAGGGCCCCGACTCCTTTCATCTTCTCTCACAGGCATTCTGGGATRGGATGGAAGAATGCCTGCTCTGGGCTGAGGGTGTGGCCCTGCCCCACAGTGACCCAGTGACATTCTGTGGCCTGGGAGGGTGTGTGTCCCTGTCTGGGCCTCTCCTGTGGCCCTGCAGTCTTTCCTGCGTTTGACCCTGTTGGTCTCCAGACTCTGCGCCTGTGCAGGGCCACATTTGGGCCTGGGACTTCCTGCCTGTGAATGGCCCCAGCGCCCCAGGGCCCCACGTGAGGCTGTGAGGGTTTGAACACTGGGGCGGTACCGGTGGCAGTGCCAGGTGCGTCATCACTCAGCTCTGTCTGCCCAGGTGTGGCCGTCCCAGCCCTTCCTCAGCAGGAGGGCGGATGCTAGGGGAGCTGCCGGTGCCTGGCTGCCCCTCGTGGTGGTGGCTGGCCTCTGAGGGAGCACAAGCTCACCTGCGCCTGGCTCTCATGATGTTGGGGACGCTTCTCCAGCGCCTTGGGGTGTAGGCCTTGGGGTGGCTTGGTTGTGCTCCCTGAACACCATCTGTGYGGTGCACACAGGCCCACCCCTGCAAGCCAGAACCCCACACACACAAGCAGCTGGACCCCTCTAGGAGGGGCAGCCATCAGCACAGGCCTCCCTGCCCCTCCAGCCCACTCCCACCACCCTCCGAGGCTCCCCACTGCTACTAGGACAGAAGCCAAGGAGAGGTCTTTGTACTTGCTGGTGTTGGCATCCCCTCAGGCCACAGGAGAGGCCAAGGCCCTGGGGCTGCCTATTCACCCTCCCTCCTCCTCCTACCCCCAGCACTCCGCCAACTGGGCTCTGTTGCCTGCATTCCTGYCCTGGCCCACTTGCACCTGGCCACCTCTGTAGGCTTCTACACCCCCACACATGCTAGTTTAGGGGCCCCTGTCTTGGGCCCCTCTAGGCCTTTGTGTTCCTCCAACTCAGAGACCAGGCTTGGCTGGCTCACTGCTGATAGCACCTGGCCCAGACCCCAGCACCTAGTAGATGCTCAGTAAAATTCAGCTGATGGGAGAGAGGAGGAGTAAGGCTTAGCCAAGAACTAGCTGGAAGAATAGTCCAGGCAGATAGCAGCTAGCACCAAGGCCTCAGGGAGGGTCTTGTAGCAGGAAGTGGGCAGGGAAGGGGATGAGGGCCTGCAAGGGGGGTCTGAGCAGTTGGCTTGGACCCCATCCAGACATCTCTGTACACTGTGAAGTGCAGTGGCGGGGCGGGGGGGGGGTGCTGAACCCACTCCAGAGCCTCAGGCTGGAGCCTGCCCGCCCCCTCCAGCCCATCCCACAGTCCTGAGCCTGGTGGTTTCCGATGGATGAGCTGCAGAAACTGCATGGGTATGCAGGGTGGGCCGGAGGTCCCCAGAGTGCCTGAAGGGTCTGGCTTCTCAGTCACTGCCCCAAGGATGAGCCGGGGCTGGGCAAGGCAGGTAGGCCATCACCGAGCCAGGGCTACCAGGGCCCTGGATGAGGTGTGGGCAGGCCTCCTGATCCCTGCCATGGGACAGCTCTGGTCCATGGAGTCACTGCTAGTTGTGAGGGGCCAGGCCTCTCCCACCCGCTCCTTCCTGCTCTCAGCTGTGGTTTACTCAGGTAGAGGGAGGAGGAGTCCATAGACAGAGGACTGTGAATGCCCACTGCTCTCYGCCTCCACAAGGCGGACTTCAATAGCATCCACCAAAGTCAGGCTCAGTGGCATGTGTGCCTGCAGTCCCAGCCTCTTGGTTTTGGTTTTTGTCTTTTTGGTATTGGGGATTGAAATCAGGGATGCTCAAGCACTGAACCACATTCCCAACCTTTTTATTTTTCATTTTGAAGCAAAGTCTTACTAAGTTGCTTAGGCTCTGCTAAACTGCTGAGGCTGGTCTCAAACTTGTGATCCTCCTGCCTCAACCTCTGGAGTTGCTAGGATTACAGGTGTGTGTCTCCACACCCAGCTACTTGGGAGGCTGAGGCAGGAGGATTGCCTGAGTCAGGAGTTCAAGACAGGCTTGGGCAACACAGCAAGATCCCCATTTTCAAATGCATACATATATACATAAATAGCAGCTAACATCTGCTAGTACTTTGGGTTGGGAGATAGTTCCTGGTGGTGTTCCACGGCCAGTGTTGCTCATTAAAAATGTTGAATGATTTTTAGGTATTAAGCAATGAGTTGCTGCTTTACTTAAAAAAATGTTTTAAGTAAAATAAAGCACACAGAACCACTTGCCCCCACGCTAGACCAGCAAGTGTCTCCTGTGCATAATCCTGGAAGGTGGGTGGGATTCCTAACTCCATTTTACTGATGAGTAAACTGAGGCCCAAGAAGGCAGGGTCCCACATCAGTGAAGGGAAGAATTAGATTTTGAACTTTTGGCTGCGGATCTTGAGTCAGTTCTCGCTCCCTGGTCAGTGCCTATTCTGCTGGGCATGAGCCAGGTCATGGTCTCTGCTCTCAGGGTGGGGACAGACACACCCAGAATGGACTTGGGATGTGCCTCTATCAGGGTGTGTCAGGAAACATGTYCTAGCAGGGGTGGCATTTACTCAGGACCTCAAGGATGAGGAGGGTGGGAAGCTGGCCACTGGGCGGGCATTCTTGGTGGGGGTTAGAGCCTAAGCAGAGGCCCAGAGGGGTGGTTAAAAATAAAGAGTACTTCCACTGCTCGATAATGAAACCATTGTACTGGCCACATCCTCTGAGAACCTCAGCCACTGCGCAGGGCCCTCCAAGTTGGCAGAGGCTCCAGGTGGCAGGCTGCATCTGTCCTGCAGACGCATGTCCACGGTGCCCTCTTCTGTGAATGGGCAGGACCACGAACAGTGAGAACTGCTAAATGCCCACTGCCTCACCTCCTCCTCACGTGAGCCCTCAGGGGGATCTGCTGTCTTGGCCCATTTCACAGGTGGGGGCATCACACATCCAGGGAGTGGCAGAGTTGAATCTTGAACCCAGGTCTGTGGGTTCAAAGTCTGTGTTTTTAAGTTCTCTATTATCCTAACTCTAGAAAAGTCCAGAACTTTCTGTTGAATGTCTGGGGATGAAGCTACTGATATGCTGGCAAATATTTAACAACCCGTTCTCTGAAAGAAAAACAAAGGCTTGATTTGTAGCCTTTGCTGATTTCCAAGGTATAAATGATCCCTCCCTGGCTGATGTCAAGCTACCCATGTGACATCACTGAATATGGCATCGGGAAGAACACAATCAGCTCTTGCAAGTTGGTGAGAGTCAGCTCCGGCACATCAACGGGAACATATCCACCCCCACCCCAGTCCATGTGGCCAGGAAAGGCCATTAGATGTCTCAGGAGTGAATGAGGGCTGGGAAACCTGCTCCTCCAGCCAGGGGCCCACCTGGGTCCTGGGAAGCTGCGGTTAATCTTTAAGCCAGCCTTGCAAACAAGTGCAGCCATTTTGGCAGCCTGGCCTGGCCTGGAGTTGGCTGTGTTGCTAATCTTCATGGAGAAACCTTGAGTGGCCCCTTTCCCCTGTGGGCTCAGTTTATTTCCACACAAGGCTCTCTTCTTTGGGCACAAACCTGGCCACCTTCATGGACACTTGTTAACTTAGCTTTCCCAGGATTTTTTTTCTTTTTTTTTTTTTTGGTGGCCATGTCTGAAATCCACATTCTTCAGTGTTCTTTCCTGTTTGATGGGAGAGGGGACTGGGCTGGGGAAGCGGGTGGACCTGTCCAGGCTCGGCAGGTGGTGACTAGCCTACTTGTGAACCCAGACCAGTCAGGCTCCAGCTCCTGCGCATTCCTGCTCTCCGGGAAGCTCTACCGCACCCTGAGGCCTCAGTCTCTCACTTGGGAGGATGCCCCTCCCAGATCCTCTCCACAGGGACCTCTGTCCAGGGAAGCCCAGGCCCAGTGCTACTCTGACCTGGCAGGGCCTAGCTTCCAACCTGGGGAAGTGAAATGGAAAGGAGACAGGTGGTGTTCATTGAAACCAGATCCCTGGCCCATGATTCCAGGAGGATAGGTGAGGAGCCAAGGGTGGGGTGCCCATCCCCAAATAGGGCAGCCCGGCACCAGGGTCAGGAGATGGTGCACAGTCTTCAGGGCGGAAAGCTGGCTTTCCTCCGCGTCCCTATTTCTTGCTATACTTCCTGCCCCACTGGGTCCAGAAGTACTGAGCCTCTTCATTGACTTGGAAGCTGCCTGCTACCCAAACACCGGCCTCAGCCCCCTCCTCAGCAAAACCGCCAGCGGTCTGCAGACTGACTCTCCGACTCCCCACGGGCTGCCAGTTGTATAKTTATGTACATTTTCTTATGCACTTAAAATGAACAGCGATGAAACTTGCTCTTTCCCACCCTGCCCCTCCTGACCCAGTCCTGACTTCAAGAAACTCGGTCAAGGCCAAAGTCAAGGCCTGCTCTTGGCAGCGCCTCAGTTTCCTCACCTGTAAAATGGGACTGATCCTGGGCCACCCAGCCCAGGTAGTTGTGCGGATCAAATCCTGAAATGGGCCAGAGCCACCCAGCAGGGCTCCTGGCCAGAAGCAGGGTGCTGACTGCGGACAGGCGGATTGGGTGGGCGGCCGGGCCGAGGGCCTTTTGGCCGGGGACAGCCGGGGGCGGGGCGGGGCGGGGCTCCTGGGCCCGGGCCCCGCCCGCCGGACCCCTGGCTGGGGCGCGGGGTCCGCGGCAGGTCAGCGGCGGGCACGGCGGCGCGCTTCCTCCTGCTCGCCGGCCGCCGCCCCTCCTCCCGCGGCTCCCGCGCTCCTCCCTCCTCCCCGCGGGGGCCGCCGCCGCCTCCTCCCTTTCTCTCGCTCCGTCTCTCCCGGCCCGGAATCCATTCCGGCCCGGGAGCCGGAGCGGCCAGGCCGCCGTCTGCCGACCCGCCGGCCGCGCGGGCTGCGCCCTCCGTGCGCTGTCGCCGCGCGCCGCGGCCCAGGTGAGCGCCCCCCGCCCGGCCCGCGCGAGACCCCGGCCCCGCCCGCCGCGCCTGGCCCCTCGCCCCGGGAGCGGCGGACCCGCGGGCGCGGCCTTTTGTTGTGATGCGGCGCGGAGGGGGCTGGGCGGGGACCCCCGACCCGGGAGGCGGCCGGCGGGCGCAGCCCCCGGCCAGGTCCAGGCCAGACCCGGAATCCGAGCCCCTCGCGCCGCCTGCGGCCGCGGCTGCCCGGGCTCCGGCCCCGCGCCCCGGCCCCGCGCCCTCGGCCCCGCGAGCCGACTGGGGGCGGCGGAGGCAGRGCGCCCCGGGGGCGGCGGGGCGGAGGCGCGGGCCTGGGCCGCCGGGACCTCCGAGTCCTCGTGGGGCCTCGGGTGGGCCTGCTGCTGCCGGCTGGAAGGGACCGAGCCTGACCGCGCCTGGTCCTCACGGCCCCCTGCCCGCTTCCGAGCAGGCCCAGGACCTGCCGGCTCAGAAGTTGGCAAAAGTTTTGGGGTTTCGCCACTAGGCCGGGTCCACTTGCCTACCTGGGAAGGGGCTGGGGTGAGCTTGAGGCCTCCGGGGCCGCCACTTGCCGTGCTGTGTGTCTTCAGACAACCATCTGCCCTCTCTGAGCTGGAGTGCCTGTCAGTGGTGATGGGCCTGGGGGACTGCTGGGCTGATGGAAGGGTGGTGCTGATGGAAGGGGCTCACCTGCAGGGTGTCATTCCGCCCCCACCCCTTGCTTTCAGGCACACTTGAGAGTGCGCAGAGTGCTTGTGGGGCCCTGAACAAGGCTTGCTGAGCCTCGTGGATGCTGTCCAGTTGGGGCAGTGGTCTCGGGGTCACCTGGGGTGACAGTTGTGCTCACACTTGGTTTCAAGGGTGGGCCAGCCTGGCCCTGTTGCTGACGCCTTTCTCCGCCCCTGGCTGGGGAGTCAAGATACCTAACCTTGTGTGGCACGACTGAGGCTGAGGGCCTGGCCCACTGAGCCCCCACGTGAGAAGTGGGGGTCCTCCGGCCAGGAGTCTCTGTGCTTCTGCATCTGTGGATTGGCATGTAGTAGGTGCTCAATAGACGGGTCCAGCAGTGGATGAGCTGCCTGAGAGGGGAGGAGGGGCGCTTGCTGGCTGCCATGGAGTGGACCTCCGGAAGGAGACCATGGGTGCCTCTCAGGTATCCCAGAACCCCAGGAAGAAATAGCCCTGGCTCCATCTGCCAGCACAGCCGAGGACCTTAGGTCCGACCCCGCTGGCCTCGGTTTTGTAAGCTGTAGAATGGGAAAACAGCAGCTGTTGCTGGCTCTGCTCAACACCTTTAGGGTCGGGGCTCTTGCTTATCTTCATTTTACTGATGGGGAAACTGAGGCTTGGACAGGGGACCTGAGGACCAAGGCCATGCAGTCTGAGGCTGGAATCAGAGCCTCAGAGACCCCAGCCAGCTGCCCTTGAACGCCTCCAGGGGTGGTCATGGTCGCCAGCATGGGACAGGCACAGGACAGTCATGGGGAGACTCCACTTCTGGTGGCTGCCCTGGAGATGTGGTGTGCCTGGGCRCTGGTGATGCAGTCTTTCCACCGGGAAGTGACTGGAGTGTGTCACTTCTCTCAGCTGACTGCCTGCCTTGGYCTGGTGCACCCCCGGCCTCAGGGCACCCTGCCAGAGTGCCCTCCTGCTGTGGCCTCCACTCTTGACTTTCCAGGATAGCTGAGGTCCCCTCTCCTGGGAGCCCCACRCTGCCCTCCTTCTGTCCCCTGGCCTCTCCCAGGGCCATGAGTTATCTCCAGCACCCAGGCTGGCTCCTGCCTTAGCTTCCCCCTAGATTACCACTTGGGGGTGCGGTGGGGGTGGGGACATCCAGGAGGACATGGCTCAGTGGCCTGCTGACACACCCTCTCCTCATCCTCCTGCTCTCAGCTGACTTCGTGTCCTCAAACCTGCTGAGCTACAAGTATCCAGACCCTGCATTGAGCATCTACTATGGACTGTGTGCTCTGAACCCAGCCGAGCCGTGGCGGGTTAGCAGGGCAGGTAGTTAGACCGGGAGGTGGTCCAGAGCTGGGGGAGCGGCAGTTCAGCCACAAAGACTGGGAGTGGGGCTCTTTCTTCRTGGGCCCCTTTGGGTTGTGAGCAGTGGCTAGTGCGGTAGGTACTTGCTGGGGACTTATGAAAAGTCCCTGGCCTCCCAGAAGTTAGAATCTGGAGAGTAAGCCAAGTAGCAAACAGGCTGCCAGATCAATGAGTGTATAATCCCTGAAGCGTAGAGGTTCAGACGGAGGCCTGGGGTACAGAGGAGTCTTGAAGGAGGCATGCGGAAGTCRTCAGGTAGAAGCTCAGGGAAGGGCTTGCCAGGTGGAGGAAGTGCATGTGCCAAGGTCCTGAGGTGGCAGAGTGTGCACTGTTGTGGAGAAGAAACTGGGGAAAGCCTGCGGGGCTGGAGCCCAGGGAATGAAGTCAGTATGTGAGAAGTGAAGTGAGGCCAGCTATCAGCAGGGCTGCAACCTGTAGAGAGCCCCGAGGCCTGGGGAGGAGTTTGGCCTCTATCTTTATGCAGGTGCAGATGGATATCCCTCACAGTGAACGGCCTCACACTGGAGGCCAGGAGTGCAGAGCTGACCAAGGTACCTGAGGGAAATAGATGTGTAACTGGACTCCAGTGTTGTATGGGGGCTAATCGGGTCTCAAGAGGAAGAGGCATGTGAGGCTGGGCTTTGAAGGTAGAATAGGAGTTCAAGAGCAGGAGGGCTTGAGAAGGTGAGGGCCAAGGATTAGGGAGTATAATTTAGGGTGGCTGGAAGCTGGGATTGAGGAGAGAAATAGGGACGGTCAGCCAGAGAGATGGAGGCCAGAGGTATGGTAAGGGCTTCAAATCAGGTGGGCCTGGGTTCAAGTTCTGACCGTTCTTGCTGTGTGTCTGAGTCATTCATTGTATCTTTCTTTTTTTTGGTGCTGGGATTGAACCCAGGGACACTCAACCACTGAGCCACACACACCTAGAGATAGGGTCTCGCTGAATTGCTTAGGGCCTTGCTAAGTTGCTGAGGCTGACTTTGAACTAGTGACCCTCCTGCCTCCGTCTCCTGAGACACTGGATTACCGGCGTGCGCCACTGAGCCTGGCTCATTGTGTCTTTCTGAGATTATTTATTCATCTTGAAAATGGGGCAATCGGCGTCTCCCTTTCAGATTAAGGTTAAAGGAGGGCTCTGTGCCTAGTTGCTGGCATCAGTGATATTCAGAAAATGGGACTTATTTTGTTACATTGGGCAGGTCAGTTGGCATCTCTGGTATGGCCTTGCCAGCTGCGTGGTCAAGGCCTTGAGTGGATGATCTCATTGAGTCTGAAGGTGCCAGTTGGGCAGGGTTGATCTAGGAGAGGATGTTGGCAGCTAAGGTCACCAATGTGCTGGGTGACCCTGAGCTCCACCCTGCCCTCTCTGGGCCTTCTCTGTGCACAAGAAGGCTGAACTGGGGACAGTGCCACGAGCCTAGTCCAGCTGAGCCTCCCGAAAGCCTGCCGTAGGTGATGGGCTACATTTTCCAGAGGTAAATACTAAGACCTGGCTGGAGAAGGGTGTCCCAGGGTGGGCCTGGGCCCAGGCTGGGGCTCTGGGCCCTTATCCCAAGGCCTGGCACCACCCAGGGCCCCCCGGGTCCTTGTGGGCTGTAAAGCCACCCTCAGTGCCCCGCCGTGGGTCAGGCTGCAGCTCCCGCCTCTGTGGCCTTGCTCCTCACTCTCTGGGCTCCCACAGCGCCTGGCCTCCCCTGCGCTGCCCGCCCTGTCTCCCTGGGAATCCACTGTGGTGTCCACTGGAGCTCCTGGGGCTCTTCCTCCAAAGGGGCCTCAGTGTCCCCATCCAAGTAGAGGGCTGGTGACTCATGGTTCCAGGGTGTCCCAAGAGGACAGTAGCAAGTCCTTGCTGCAAATCAGGTGCTTAGGAAGCAGGGCTGGGGCTGGGGCTGCRCGGCCGGGCTCCTGGCATCAGCCTTGCTGGAGCCCACGGTTCCTGAAGCCGCCCAGTGGGAGCAGGGCTGGCACCTACTAGGGCCAAGGGCCGGGTGGCGGACCGTCCACTGCGCCTGGCGGCTGGTCTGCGTCGCCGTTCCTCCGTGTTCAGGGCCTCATCCCAGCTTGAGTCCAGAGTCGTGTCGCTTAGTGACTTGAGCCTCCGCCTCTGCGCACCCCATCTGCGGACGTGCTTCGGCCGCTGGGCGCCCAGGGGCCCTCACATCTGTCTGTCCGCTTCCTTTCCCTCTTCAGGCTCAGACCTCATCCAGTCCTGCTCTAAACTGGGCCTCCAGGCCCACAGACCCCAGGCCCATTCTGGCTTCCTGGGAAGGAGCCCTGGGATGGATTAGTAATGTCTGCCGTGGGCACAGGGTGGGACGTGTGGTGCKTGTGCCCTGATCTTGTCATTCCTGGCCTGTCCAGACCTTCTCTTTTCACGATGGGGAAAAGGAGGCCAGAAAGACAGACAGGTCATCTAAGCTGGGAGAAAAACGCAGATCTCTTGACTTTGGGCAGGTGACTTCCCCCTACCTTGGTCCCTTCTGTTTTTCTCCCCAGAACTACTCAGAGAAGTTTCAGAATAAAAGCAGAAGTGGAGAGGAGAAATGGAACGATCTTGGCCTCGTCCCTCCTGTCCCCACCTCATTTCCTCACCTGCATAGTGCAGGTTCTTCTCTCACCGAGGCTCTGGGACGGGGACCTGGCTGGGGACTGTTCAGGGGCAGCCCCCTGAGAYTCTTGGTGCCCGTGTGGCACTGGGGATGTCTAGGATGGGCAGGGAGGGGTGGCCTTGGAGCTGTTGGGGACTGTGGGAATGGGCCCTTCTGGATCCTGGGGCCCACTGGGCTGGGGAGCCAGCGGGGGCGGGTCCGGACGCTGGGGGTGGGAGCTGTGTGGGGAGGGCATCAGGAAGTGCAGCTTCCCTGCCAAGGTCTGATTAGCTCTTCTCAGGCTGCTTTGTCTGGATTCATGGTCTTGACTTTGGTGTGGGTACCCTCCCGTCGTGCCCTCCCTCG